TTGCAACTTCTGTTGCTTGTATTCTACTTTACCTTGAGCAACATAGCTAATTTGTAGGATCCATTTTACACTGCAGCCCCACAAGCTTCCAGTAGTAGGATTGAGGTAGGCATGGGAAATATGCAAAGATGGGAAGATGAGGAGGAATTTAGTTAAATCAGATTTGCTATTGGAGAAAATGTAACATGAAGCCATTTATAACCATCTTAACTGTGCTCTGGCCAAATAAGATTTTGTATCTTTAGCATATCTGTGGAGCTGGAAAACTAGTTTTATTTGGGGATGCGGTTCCATTTTGTTTTCTTCTGCAAACATGACTTAAGAGCTTTCCTCTTTCTGTGTCTCATGTTGTGGCTTTCTGTTTGATTATTTCAAATATTGTGCAGTCATGCTGTAAATCAGATTTGTGAAATGATCCAAGTATTAAAAGAAAATCACTTCTTAAATGTGTCTGGGATCAGCTGAATTGGTAAAACTGAGGAAGCTAGTAACTGTGATAAGGGAGCTGAAAACAAATGGAGGTGATGGGTCAAAAACCCCTCTAGCAACAAAGCTAGGTTAAGAAACTCTGATAGAGTTAATCTTCAACTTAGCTTTTATCTGAGGGCTTGTTAATAAAAATACATGCTAGCACAAAGAAAGCAGGCAGAGCTTTTGGATCCTACCAGAAACAATAAGGAAGCAGAAGCCCCTTGCATTTTCATAGCACACTGTGTTTTGTTCTGGGCCGGCCCCAGGATCAAGCTATTTCTGGGTTCCCAACAGGACAGGGAGATAGGTCCCCTGTAGCTTCCAGGAGCTTGCTATTGGATCAGCATCTTCTGCTTTATTAAGGCCTGTCAGCACTCCAAAGTAGCGAGGAAAACAGAGGTGTAGGATATGAATTTAGATAGGCTGTTGTACCAAACCGTGTGGCAACTGCTGTGTTTTTTGTTTCTTAGTTTCAAGTGACCACATTTGCCATTAAAGACAGCCTAGTTACCAGTGTATTAGTAGGAGACATGCCAGAAACTTCATAAAATTAACAATGCAGATTAAATGATAAACTTTATTTCTTATGTGGAAACTCCTTTCAGTCATCACAAGATGCACACTTTTCTTCTTCTCAGGCTAGACAGTGAAAGCGAAGAACGATGGTGCACTGTGCGCACAGGAGAGACCATGTGGGCGTTCATCAGACTGAGTAGCAATTTTAAGTTCTTCAGTGTGAAACTTATGTTGAGTATATTCTTTTTCTCTCTTTCTTTCCCCCAGTCCTGACCCCAAGTATGAGGAGAGGATTAGCGATCCAAAACCATGAAGCTTATCCTCAAGAGCAACTGAAAAACTTTCACCTAAAATACTTGTATTTGCAATGAATAAACTGTGTAACTCTTGAATAATTATCAATTGTAATTGTTGGGGATACTTTGATCATTACTTGAAAAAATTTTAATACATTTCATCTTAAGTAAGAAGGGATAACAGGCTTGAACTGGACCTTGCTCCTAAGTAGGTTTGAATTCTTAAGTATTAAAACACATAAAATATAAGGATAACTTTTGAATAGGGTGAATTGTGGAACCTAATGCCCCCACAGGCAAAAACTTGTCTTGTGTACTTAAGGAGTTAGCGTTCTTATTCCTTAGAATGAAGTGTGGTAAAAGCTAATTAAGAATGAGGTTTCATTTTTGAGCCTTTTTATTGGAGGTAAGGATGTGCTTGATTTCAGGTTTGTATAGTTTCCACAGCAGTTAAAGCCAACCCCAAACCCTCTTAAATGACCAGGTAATCTGTATCAAAGAAGAACAAGTGGGTATGGTACTGGGAATGAAAGGCTGCCTGTTCAGCTTAGCAGTTATGATTATGATCTTAGTAGAAATGGAAAACAGCTTGCAAGAAAAGAGTGCTTTGCTGTATAATTTGAAATGGAACTGTTTTGAGTGTAATGCTAATTTCTAGATGAGTTGATTCATTTTTTTGGGTAAGGCTACAGTGTATTTAAACAAGAACAGGAATGTTGCATACTTCTGTTGGTATACAGAAAGATAATTCATGTATGTGTTTCTGTGAGAGCAATTAGGCTATTATTTGGCAAGTACAGATAACTATCATAAAATGAGGTTTGTTTTTCTAGAAAAGGGGGTATATTATCTTGACTATGCCAAAACAAAGACTGTGCCTAGGAACCACTACCTTGGAGAGGGAGGAAGGCTGTCAGTTGTTCACTTGTGTTGCTTCTGTGCAACTGAAGAGTAAAGGGCAAATGTGACCTTTAAGTACTTTCCCTCTTGGAGGGGAAGAGCGCTTTAGCTTTAAGCTGAAGACATACTGAAATGTGGTTGGTTTGAGCCTAGTATGTGCCATTGTACTTCAGGCAAGTACGAGTTTAACTGAAGGCAAAAATTTGTTCTTTCTTACACTATATACAGTGTTAGTTTCTAGTGGACTAATAATTGCCCAGCTATTACAAAGCTAATACCATGGATGAGAGGACAACATGACTGTGGCTTGACAGAAGGTAGACTGTAGACAGCCTTGACAAGGCCCGTGTGAAAAAATTATTAAACACGGCACACCAGGCTTTAACCAATAGGACTTTATTCTGTTGGTATCTCAACAAAAAAATACCTGAGGTACAGTACAGAAGTATGGCTAAAAAAAAAATAATCTTCAAATTATGGTTTGATTTATTGATGTTGGTTATTTAACCAAGTTTGAGATTATTGTAAAGCAAAAGACATATGCATTCCACTACTCCTTTTCATCTTCAGGAAAGCACAGAGACTTTCACATATCCAAGCACATTATTTTCAGAAAGATCTAGGCACCACTTCACTACTACCGGAAGGGCGAGCTAGCACGCTGTCATCTAATGCTGAAAACTCCACCAGCCCTTCCCCTCACTGGAAACAAAGTTCTAGCCTTTGAAGGGACAGAGCATTTTTCCCCTTGCACAAAGGCGTTCCCACCTCACCAGTATGATAGCCTCCTCCTGTTCCTACGCAAGTGCTTGAAGTCTGACCACAGCATATCCAATTAAATTTGATCCCTGAACCAGAAAAGCAGGGTACAATTTCTGCAGCACCAAGGAGTAGTATAAGGCACAGTACTTTGCTATGCTCTTTACCTTAAATTTAAGGGAATGTCAATTAAGGCTGATTATCAACATATTCTAGCCTCCCAATAATAGTTATAGAGTGCTCATAAAATTGGATAATTGTTGTTTCCCATGTTCACGTCCAGTTTAGATAAAATCAGTCCTCATCCGGTTCAAGAAACATTGCAAATCAGGTATAGTGATCACTTGTTGCAGATGGAACGTTCACTCATGCATCACTGCTCGTTCTGCTGCCCCTCTGTGACGGCAGACACCCCTCCTTGGCCCTTGTTGACATCGCTGATACATGCCCACAGTCCGTCTACTGATTCCTTCCATAGCGTGACCTCAAAAACAGATCAGGAAGACATTTCAGCCTTAATACGTTCTCAGTTTCCCATTTCCTCGCAACCATCATATCACTAGTTTGGTGACAGTCTACAGTTACAGAAGTCAAGTGTTGCAGTGTTGTTCCAAGTATCAAGTTACTTGTTGCTGTATACCGAATAACTATCCAGTGGTAAAGGGAGAATATGCAAATTCTGCTGTTAGTACCCTACAAAATAAAGTTAATCCTGCATTTCTAATCTCCTGTAAGGACTAAGAATGCAGTGCAAGTAGTTTGCCAAAGGTTAGGGTCTTCCTCCCTTTTTGATATGTCGAAAGAAAGAAATTCAGCATTGCAGCAAAAGAGAATCTACAACAGTCCTAAACAAAAGTGACAACAGACTGTCTCATCTCAGCTCTTCTGAAAATATGGCATGCAGGAGTAAAAGCCAAGGCAGCAGTACTCACTTTATTGTCTCCTCCAGACACTGCAAGAATGTTTGCAGTAATGGACCAACTCACATGCCAGACAACATCATTGAACTTGTGCAGCAGCTTTGGTGACCATGAATTTCCAGAGGCATCATCGCATGTCCAGATAAACACTCTACCATCCTACAAAAGCAAGCAGACCGAGGTGGTTGGACCACAGAAAAAACAACCTCGATTGCGCTTACAGCTATGCTTCCATATCACAGCTCCGATATGAACCCTAGATGTATTTACAGGCATTTTTGCTCAGCACAGCAAAGGAGCTGTTTTCTTATTATAGCTAAAAGCAAGATAGGAGTACAGCTGTCTGATGGGAAAAACTACATGCAAAAGGTGACTTGCAAACACCAGAGAAAAGCTCCCAAAATACATCAGCTGAATTTTTCCCCAGAATGAGATTTTGCTTTCCAGTCACATGATAGCAAGTTAGCTGCTTACTGAGTAGCCTTCTTGCTATTAAAAAAAACCAAACAAACCAAAACCCAAACCCACCACATTCACAGAATTATTAGCAGCAAGAACACTACAGTCAATATGAAGGTTGAGGACATCAGAGCTGATTAAGAATGCCAGTTATTAGAAAACAGTATTTTTAGCTGGCAGTCCAGTGAATCTGATCCAGACACATTAAAATACAACTTTAGTTTGAAGGTCTTCCTCGCAGTGAAGCCACCCTGCTCATGATTTTCAAAATACAAGATAGTCTTTGGTACAGAACCACACACATGCAAACCTTTGTCCAGAAACGTTTCCACTGGGCTTCTCAGTTTGGAAGAAGCAGGACTGAAAGGCTCTTCTGCACAGACCCAGATATAGCAAAGGATTGCCAAGAGGACCTGGTACAGTAGTTCTGTCCTTACTGTTCCTTTACTTCCTTCCCCTTTTCTCTAGTAAATGGAAGAGAGGGCATTGAGAGCCTCCCTCTGTCACTCCAATAGAAGCCTCACCTGTGAGCAGCTAGCAATGGTGCTTGTTGGCAAACCTATGGATGGAGCCCAGGCTACATCTCGAACCCAGTCACTATGGGCCTCCAGCTTCTGCTCTTCTTTCCACTGACCGTCTTCTTCCCTGAAAACACATTTATGCAGTCAGAAGGGTGGCAGCAGCAGCCAGTCATATTTCTCATCTCCTCTTCTGGAAGGCTTTGGTTTTGCAGCTTTCAGACTCCCAGTTCATCCAGACAATACAAAGCACAAGAGTTCCCCACTCTTCCCCAAAAAGCTCTATGGCTTAAACTGACAAAATCCCTTCCAGGGGACAGAAAGCAGCATAGGCAACGAGTATTTGATCTTCAGTTACTGTACAGAAATCTACCTCTGTCACTTGGACAATAGCAATCAGAGACAATTAGAAAGCCACTTTTCAAGATAAGATTAAGCAGGCTGACACAAATTGCTATAACCATGTGAGCGATATTGTACATCGCTAAGTTGTTTCCATTTTTAAAGCACTTCTTTAAAACAATAATTCAAAGATGAAAGCGTAGAGGTGCTGAAAATATTACTTGAGATAGTAACAGGGACATTAAAAGACTATAAAGGATATCAAGTTTTATACGTTCTTATGTCTGGCAACAGAGCACTTACTTCCAGATCTTGACAAGGTTGTCACAGCCACCAGATGCAAATCTTTTGATGTAGTTTGGTTTTTGACCAGATGGTTGTTCTATAAGGCTTCCTGGTACAACAGCAGGAGCCCAGCTAACTGCATTACATCCAATCTATTTAATGAGAAAATATCATTACTAAAAGTTGCTTACTTTAAATAAATAAGTAAAAGCTGCTGTGGGGGAAAAGGACACCTAGCATACTCTCTCTTGGCAGGGGGGAGAGGAATAAGCCTATCTCAGGAAAAGAGGAGTCTTGCACAATGCTGGATGGATACAGAATGAATAAGAAATCCAGATACAGTCTAGTCTCAATAAGGCACTTACTTACTCAGAAAGTCTTAGGTAGCTAAGTAACTGTTTTATGTGCAAATATCATCTTGGATATGTAAACAGTGGAGACAGATATAAACTGAAAAGACACAAGACACACACAGTTGCTAAGATTTAGGAATGCAGGAGTAGAAGGAACCTGCGGGTCTGGAGCCCAGTTTCCTTTTATTGAGAGCCACTGCCATTAGCTTATCAAGTTCTGCCAAAGCAAAAATCTCCACTGTTCTGGGAAAAACATGAGTCCTGCAGTTTTTCCAGCTTCCGTTTATTCACGGTCAGTTTGTACAGGTGTTCTTAGTACCAAAGCCATTTCCTACCAGGTAACTTCCAGCACTATGTTTAACAATAATGCTTAATAAACAAGTATTATCAGTGCTGTTTAGTAACCTTCACATGTCTTGTTTTCTACTTTTAGTGACTACAAAGTATACCTTCCCACTCTGGATTAATTTAAAACAAGTTATTCTTGATTCTGGAAAATGTTTCACATCATTTCATTGTATTTCAGTATTTATCTAGCCTACAAGTTCTTTGAGGCATCAGCTCGGTGCTTATCTGCTCTCCAAGAACCCTGTACTGCTCCAAAGGAACTGACTTACCGTATGTGCATTGCTGATCTTTTTGACTTCCCATTGCCCATCACCCGTGTAGCTCAATAACGAAATGGCCCCATCAGAGCTCCCGCAGGCCAGGATCAATCCATAGTCGTGTGGCGCCCAGCAGACAGAATTCACTGTGAAGGGTGAGACAGACTGTATTACAACACAGTGACGACCTAAAATTGCCTAACCGATTCACTGACTAATATTAGTGGGATAGTCATTAAAAGTGAGCAGCGTTGAAAGCTAAGAAAGAGTCAGCATTCCTGATTTTCAGCAAAGCCAGTCAATTAACATTGTTTACTGAATGATGGGAAACTGCCTTTATTTTTGGCACCCTTTTACAACGAGAACACCAAAAGAGCACTCCTAACGAGAGATTAAAAACTCTGACCATCCCTTGCAACAGGGAAGAGTACCGCTGACTCTAGAACAAAAGCTGAGTGGCAGGCATAAGTCTAGATTAGCAACAAAACAAAGCTGGAGTCTTCTCAGATCTGCATGTAGGAGGACCAATCATCTGAACAAAACCATTTCCATTGTAAAACAAAATGCAGCATGCTAAAATCCACCTTCTTCCTTTCTTCCTGTAGTGGATACACACAATATTTTCCTGAAGAATTCAGTACCCTACCATCTTGTAAAACTGATTTATGTGTAAAACAGCTCCTATGCAAACATTGTATGAATCAGGACAGATTATCCAGCAATATGATATTACACAAATGTTCTGTTTATGCTGAATAGACTTACTGTCTCTCCGTTAATTTATCCCTGTCCGTCTCATAAAGGCTTTCTTCCTTAACACCGATGGACTTATTCCAACTTTTCTGAATCCTCTCATATCCCCAGTCTCACTTCCCAGCTCCAGACCCCACACACCTGAGGAATCATGCCCTGTGTACTCGTATGTCTTTTCCCAAGTGCCGTTTTCCTCCTTCCAGATAATAACCTTCCTGTCATAGGAACATGAAGCCAGGATATTTCCGTACATAGGATGAGCCCAGGCAACCTGCCACACGGGACCTTCATGCCTGCAAGAAACAATGCTATTTGGAAAAGCTGAGAGGAACCCATTCCAGTGTCGGCTGTTTCACAGCCATCATTACTGTAAATCGATGTTCTCTAAGTGATTAATGCAGTGAGGTGAAGAATATGAGTAACGCTGAGATGAAAACCAGCATACAGGACTGTCAGACAAAGCCATTGTCATCGAAAACAATTCCAAACATTTATCCTTATATTAGCAATTAAGATTGTGAGTTTAATTCTTGAAAATTATAGGTGTCAAGTATTTAAAGAATGAAAAAGTCCCAGTGTTATTTCTAACTGCCCCCCCCCAGCTCTGAAGAGTTGCTTAGCAACAACCAGCCATAGTAATTATTACCTTGGAGGAATTTACCATGCATTTTATGTTACCAAGGGGCAAAATGACAAAATACTAAAGATTTCCAGATTAAAATCCTCTGCTTACGACACTTTACCCTCTCAGGTCCGCAATGAGGATTTGCCCTCCATTCCTAACATCAAAGATTTTCACGGATCTGTCTGAAGAACAGGTCGCCAGCCGGGTGCCATAGTAATCCATCTGAGCATCGTGCTGCAAGGCGACGGAAAAGCTGCTGTCAGCGCGTGCGAGCTCTGCTTTGTTAACAAGTCTTATAACATTTTAAAAGTAGCTGTAAGAGTTGCGAACAGATGACCGAGTCCCAGCATGACAAATTAAAAAGGATGGTTTTTAAACAATCCAGACAAGCCACATAAGTCATTATTTCCCCAACTATACAAATGTTACGCAGAAGTAGTCTAAGGAATTCAGAGCAGTAACGCACAGCATTTTCAGGAGAGGACAGGAAATTAGTGCCGCTGACTGCAAAGCCTTGACCGGTGATGTATTTTTGTTTAATATGTAAAGTGGATGGAAGAGTACTGGTCTCTCATTTATATTTGAGACATCATTATTTAACTGGGCTCCTTGCTTCTACAAATTACTTTGAAATGTTTCCTCCTACCCGTAGCTACACATCTGCTCCTGGAAACATCCATAGAAAGGAAAATGAAGTTTCATCTGCTGAAGTTCTGTACCATTTAGTATATGCATGCATATTGCTTCATAGAAATGAGCAAAAACAAGCCGAGGCATGAAAGTTTTAAGTCATTTCTCCTTGCCCTGGTAGCTACGTTTTCCTGTCCACGCAGTACAAAATAGCGCTATCAGAATTTCAGACAGCGTTCTCCACCTCATATCCCACGTCTAATATCCCACGTTTCATACGGGCATCGCGCCGCTAAGGCAGCCCGGGTGCCGGTGCTAACGGACAGCCCCCGCACACTTACTATCATGTCCTCGTGAGAGGTGTCCACCGTGTTGATTACCGAGACCTGCGGGCGGAGGAGGAGAGACAAGAACAAGCACACCGCACCTCGCAGCCT